GTGGGACTCGGCACCCAATGAATTCTGACTTGATTGAATTTGCTTCCTGTTATTATTAACAGTCTACTATGAAACTGTATCCCCTTTATCAACTGAAAAAATGTCAGTATGCAAGAAAATAAAACCTCTTCTAATTTAACTTTTAAAAAGTTGATAGGATGATAAATCTCTGCATGCAGTATAGTTTATTAATAGTATCATCCTAGATGATACAAACAGTTCTGAACTCAAATTATTATTATTATTTTTTTCCTTTTTTGAGATGGCATTTCACTATGCAGTTCAGGCTGGCCTTGCATTCACTTTGTAGCCTGGGCTGACCTCGAACTCATAGAGATCCTCCTGCCTCAGTCTCCCAAGTTCCAGGATTGCAGGCTTGTGTCATCACACCTGGCTGATATATTCATCAAAAAAAAAAAAAAAGTACTTGCATTAACTCTTGAGCCTCAAAATGGAACACACAGGAACAAAACCTTTTTGAAATGATAAATGGTATTCAGTAGAAGCAGACTTTTAAACCAATAGGGATTTTCACAACTAAATATTTAAAAACTCCCTTAACATCCAAGGTAATTATAGTCATCATTATATAAATATGAAGATGCCATTGGTCCTCACCCAGGTCCTGTTACATGGACAAAAGTGTCCCTAAGAAGTATGAACTCATACCAAATTTTCCTCTTCTCTTCTCCTTCATGAATTCAATGTCGTGGGAAAGGCCTTTCTGGCTTGTTTTTTATTTGGCTTTATAAACTAAGCATGTGGGCAGAAAGGAAAGAGGCACTAAAAGCACAACTGAGAACTTCTTAAATTCTGATGAAACAGGAGGCCTGTCAGTCACAGTCCCTTTCAGATAGTTACAATTGAAGAAATAGTGAAGTAGTGGGGCGGCCTACGCGAAGCTTGGAGATGTTCAGTCATTTCTAGATGGCAGTTATAGACTCAGCAACTTATTCCCTATAAAATGAACTATCACAGCATCAAGAGAGGCCTCAGGGGTCACCATCTGACAGTCACACTGATCACATCTGTACAAGTTAATTCATTGTCTTGACTTTCAGACTAGACACCAGAGGTATTTTATTTTGTGCTGAAACTGAGACAGCATTCCATTGTGGAATGGCCTCAGTATTGGTCACATTTTTCTTCTTTCCCTGCTGCCCAAGATTGCCTGATTCAAAAACATTATTTACTTATTTGTTTATTTATTTTGCAGTACTGGGGATTGAACTCAGGACCTTGTGCTTACCAGCCAGGCGTTTAAGCCGCTGAGCTATCTCCCCAGCCCCTCAAATACTTTAAAGGGTGCTTTTTACCTTAATACTGTTAACAGCAATGATGACCTGGGATTTTAAAAATGTCTATGTTAGTCCAATTGTGGTGAAGTCGCTAGAAAAAGTGATCTATTTTAAAGTTTTTATAATGAATTCATTATAAGGGTGACTAAGTGACAGCTGTGTTCCTCACATACATATCGAATGCTCACTAGGTACAGAGCTCTGTACTGTTGGCAGATATGTCACAATTCCTTAGTGTCTCTGGACCACAGATATCAGGGTCCTCCAACTACTGGTCAGGAAAACATAACTGTGTCTGAGTGAGGAATTCTTAGTTTGCAATGGAAATGGGTGGAAATCCCAAACAGTAGCTATAGCTCAAATAGGCGCTGCTCAAAAGTTCGCAGCTGGGCTTTAAGTATATGGTAACACTGTCAGAAAGTGCTAGCTCAGATTTCCTTTGCGTTTGATGCATTTCATTATCTGGGGTCCCCTGTCCCCTGGGAGCCAACAGCTAAAAGTACATGAGAATGATACAGAGGCAAACATTGCTATAGCAAGTGCTACCTGGCCTTAGACCTGGGCCGTCATAACTGAGAGTTTAAAGGCTCTGGGGACCACCGGGTCAACAGCAAAGCCTCTCTGAGAGTCTAGCGTCAGGGGCCTTTGTCCCTTGCCACGCAGCAGTTCTCCCAATACTTTCATTATCTATATTTTGCTTTAATGTCCCCAATGTGCAGCCTCTAAAAATAATCTGGCCACATCAGGTTACTTTTTCTCCCTCAATAAGTTCTGATTGCATCATTTGACATAAAAATAATTGCAGGAAGCAACGATGATCTTTCTACCTTTTGAAAAGATGATTCTGTTAAAGTTCTAAACATGCAATTGAAATGCTCCAATTTCTTATGTATTTAATAGATGTCTTAGATTTTTTCCCCCTAACTGCAGAAATAGAATAAATAGAAACACTGCATTCTTTAAGGATAACAAACAGGAATCAAACTGCCTTTACTCCATGTCTATAAAAGGCAAGGCCACCATTATAAATTTCTCAGTATTTCCTGTCACCTTTAAACATTTTTATTTATTCATCTCAGAATATTTTAATAGCACATATACGTTCTCCAAAAACACATCCCTGCGGCTTACTGCCAAGTTCCTCTTTCACAAATCTTACAGTCTTAGCCTATACACGAGTTAAAACATTTTCTTAACAAAAGTTCTGTGAAAATTTTCTTTTCTTAGGAAAGGCCTCTGCACACTGACAGAGCCTATCTGAGATATAGAGAAGCGCTCACATTCCAGTTATCCTGTCAGCACGAGGGGCATAAGCTCCGAAGCATGAAGTTCCTAGCGCTGTAAGTCCGTTGTGTCTTACCTTATAAATAAAGAAATGGCTTAGTGACAGCTACAGTTTGGAGGCATTGACATTTTTCTTTCCAACTCTCATTCTGAATTTTTCAGTATTTTCCTTCATAAAATATAACTACCACAGTTCGACTTCCTGTATCACTGACCCATGCACCACAATTAAAAGAAAGAAACCCCAACCAGCCATAACAAAGGTTGCAGTCAGCGCGGAGGGGGAGGCTGAGCCCTCCCATCGAAGAAGTCACCTCGCACGGCCCTGGCTTTCCACACAGCAGCTTGCCCTCTCCTCCGCCCCTGTGAGCAGGTGACTTCCTGGTGCACTGAGAGTATGTGCCGCGTGCTTTCGAGCCGCTGTTTTTTAGCATGGGGGTTCTCAACCACGAAAACACAGTCCCTGATTGTCCTCAGAGCTGAGCCACTCGACGTCTTGACACTTGGTTGTTTTTAACTTTTCCACAATAGGCACTGTTCACGTCCCTCCATCTCGGTCCTTTATTCAGTGATCAGGCAGTGATGAAAGGCCAGTCACGGCTTCCCCCCATGGTATCAGTGCGGTGGCATGTGATGATTCACATGGGGAGTGTTTGATCCGAGGAAGCCCAGTCTCTGCTTATTCTTCCTTTGTTCTGTCATCTGGGGAAAAGAGAGAGAGAGTGTGTGTGTATTCAGCTGATTTTCTCACTCCTCCCCGGGCCGATGGATCACAACCATTTTTTTTTTTTCCACTATTTCCCAAGTACTTATTCTCTGCCATCATATAGAGCATATTTATATAAAAAGGGAGATTTTTTTTTTAAAGAGTGAATTTCCATAAACAGAGAAAAAGAGCCAAGCCCTGGCTGCAGTCAAGAAACAGGAACCATGGTTCTCAGACAGATCTTGCTTGTCATGTCATTGTCCCCACAGTCATTTTAGTCACTTGCGTGGTTTCTGCTGATATTATTGTTTTTTAAACGAATGCTAACAATGTCACATGACACAGGGGTTGATTATAGCATTGAAGGGGCAGCTACTATGATGTTCTCCCTTCCCATGACTTTGGTAATTGGTCACTTGGAAGAAAACGTGATCTTAAAGAGCATGCACACTGCTCCCTATACATCGGCATCTGCTTCTTTCCCTTTGCTGTAGGAGAAATGTCACATGGACCCGTGTGGGTTCAGCAAGCAGAAGGCCCTGGGTCTACAGCACAGCGCAGGGCTCTCTGCGGGAGTCTAGAGCCCCTAATGGTGACCCCAGGAGACTCCAAGTCTTCCCACGCTCCGCCCCCAGCTCCTGGCCATGGGCACACTGACCTGCTCCTTTAGCTCCGCTAGCTGACCTGACAGCTGTTTGACCAAACTCATGGTGGATTCCAGCTTCTCCTGCAGGTTCCGGATCTCGTTTTGCTCACTGTCACTTTCATTGCTAACAAGAGACATGGCTCGCATCCGAGGAAACCAGTCCAAATTCTTTTCCTAAGTGGAAATAGGAGCAAAGGAATTAAGACAGAAGAAAGGCTAAAGTCCTATAAAGATTGTTCATAGGAGTTCCTTATTATGGACCTGTGAGTCAGTATCTCCTACCACTCCTATCAAAAGGTATTCTCTGGCAGGGTAGGGCAGGAAGCAAGGGCAGGCTGGTTAGACACTGGTCTTCATGACCTGCCAGAAGGTCTCAAATATTGAAGCAAAATTTTTATGGGCTCTCAGGGAGTCCAGGATGGAGCATTTAGAAGACCACCCTGTACCCTTCGGGTATTCAGCAGACCCTGATGAAATGTAAAGTAGGGTGTGAGGCTGGGAAAGAGACCCACGTGGGCTCAGACTGGAAGAGACAGGGGCAGCTTCTCTCTTGTTCCTGGCACAGGAGAGAAAGGGTTGGTAGAACAGGAGGTGGTGAAACTCGGGTTTCAGTTCTAGCTGCCTATGCTAACTTCCCTCCCACTGGCTGCACTCCGGGGGAAAGGAGTGGGAGGAGATGGCTCTGGGTTACTCTGTTTGCTCCCTTTGGAAATAATATTGCGCTGGGGTGACTTCCCCAGACAGCAATAGCCAGTGCCACTTCTGCTTTTCAAGGCCAACAGGGCATGTCTCATGTGTGCTTGTGTGCAGGCGCGTGTGCGTGTGATTTCTTCCCCATGGTGTGGACACATAAATATCCTGAAAGCTTTGCCTGATTGCCTAACATCTTAAATGGCCATGTGATATTTACATTACATTTTTAAAGGTAAATCATCTTGTCACCCAGCTAGGTTACCCATAAGCCAGTAAGTGACAGATCGGTGGTCTGAACTCTTTGTGCCACAGATGGAGCACATCAGCCTCTCTTCCTCTAGATGCCCATGTCTCTAAGTCATGTCCACCCAACATCTCCACCAGCGAGCTTCCCACTTAGGACCCTTCCCTCTCCAGGCAAGTTCCTAAAATGGCCGTGACACCTCCACCTGGAGCATTCCCAACATGTAGCCCATCAGAGTTCTTTCTGTTCTTGAGGTATACTGGAGTCTACGCCCCTCTGGACTGTATCCCATCTTGCCTGGACGGTCTCCCCATCTTCCTTGGCCCCTGAGTTGGCTTTTTGTTGTAACTCATTGGAGAAGAAGTCCTACCTCCACTGGCAGTGAAAAGGGATGATAAAGGATTAAAGATAAAACACAGAGTTTTTTAAACAGCATTTAAACAGCTGTAGCTAATTAGCATTTCAAAGCCAAACAGTCACTTCCTCTGAAGTACAGAGTGACAGATTCATTCATTCCATCAATCCTTTCAGCATCTATTGTCAGGTATTTAGGGATGAAAGTCAGATAAGACCCTGTGAATGCTCTCAGGGAGCTTGTGGCTTAGGTCCACTGGATGGCACAGGGTGCCTATCAAAATCCCCTAGGGTTGTTCCTTAAAATTATGGATTTCAATTCTACCACCGCTCACCAAATCAGAACTCCAGCAGCATCTGTGTGATTCTTATGCTGATGCCAATAAAGTGGAAGAAGTCTGGTCACAGAGGCAGTAAATAAATAAATAAATAAATAAATTACTGACTGTTACAGGATAGGGACCCATTAGATTTCTGCAGGACAGCATGGAGGGTTCAGCTGAGTATGTGACCATGCCTCGTAATGACTGTGGTAAAGGCTACTGTTCACCAACAGGGGATGTGTAGGTGAAGCAGAGGGCTGGATGGACACAGGGCATTGAGTGTCCCTGGGGTGGGCATCAAAACAATACAGGTGTAGGGGAGCTCAGAAGGTCAGCAGAGAGGCTGGAATGATGAACACTCAGAACAGAGTGACAGGAAGGCCAGAGAACGGAACAGTGCTGCACACTTTACAAGCACTCCTTTCAACAATCCAATGAACTGAGGTATTATTACCTCTCGTAGGATCTCTATTATCTGAATTTTACAAATGAAGAAGCAGGCTCGCAAGAGGGTTAGCTGGCTCCCAGGTCAGATCTATCCACAATCTCGGCTATTGGCAAGACAAGGGACTGCAGACAGAAAATGGAATAAATTTAAGATCTATGAAGAAAATAAAGGAAGAACAGAAGGAGATAAGGGGATGGATCTTTTGCAAATCGGAAGAGGCTCAAGGCATCAAAGGCAAGGTGTGAAGGGGAGAGGATGAGAAAAACGTTGAGTGAATATCTGTCCCTTACGGGATCCTAACAACCCCAATCCATGTGGACACTGTGCCATAAACGTGAACAAAGATGAATAATATCAACAAAAATGACAAGAGGGAAAGGAGAATCATAGAAGAAGGGAGGGAAGGGGTAGAGAAGGGGATTTAAAAAATACAAGCTCTAGTATTGTGGGCATGCATCAACTTCCCCAAGATGACTGTAATATACTGAGTGTACTGCAAACATGTACTAATAAAATAAAAGATTCTGAAAGAAGGACAATTTCAGGTCATGAAAGCTCTGGGGTGAGAGTGCAGCAAAGTTTCTGAAGAATTGTGCATGGAGCCCCTGAGGTCATCCTGAAGATGGTGAGAGGTCTGGGGTGGATGAAGAGGCTGTGAGCATCCAGAGGTCAACATCTATGCAGAACGAACAAGACTGACACTGGGGTATTAGAGGTCAGGGAGAGAGGAACCAGGAACATGCCTTCTTGTACGTGGAGTTGAAAGCATGATCACTTCTCAAGGACAGGGAGCTCAGAAGGTGTTGACTTTCTTCTACTACAGAGGGGTTGGGAAAAAAACAAGGTGCAACTGGAAGGCCAAAAGGGAAGGGCTCCCCCTGGGAGGGTCTAAGAGGTGGCGCTGCGCGAGAGAGCACAGTCGACAAGAGGATGGGGCTTCCACAGGGGCTGCAACAGCAGAAGGATCTGAGAGCATCAGATGCCTGGGCTTAGGGTGAGAAGGGACCAGGTGACAGGGTAATGCCTCATGTGAGGGTGAAAGTATTAACTATTAGGGAGTTTTCAAAAGCAACAGATGCAGAATGTCTTAATACTCAACAGACTATTGCTCTGCCAACTCGGACACAGGGGAAGCCTTGTGAAAAGTCCTCCAAAGAAACAACATTGCAGGCATCTCTGGGGCCGTGGTGAGTCAAGTCCACGGGCTCTTCTTGCTGTTGAAGAAACAGCTGGAGTTCTCTGCAGACCACTGCTGGGGTCCCTTGGATCATGGGCTCATTCTCTACCCTCTTTCTTCAATTTTCCTTTATTTATCCCCTCATTTAATAATTCTTACTCATGATTTCTGTATTAGGCACCAGAGACACAACAGGGCAAAAACCTAGCACAATGTCTATGCTTCTAAAATCTGAGTAGAGTGAGACTTCCATCAGAGATGATAAAAGTCATGACAAGCTGTGCTTAAGTGCTAGGTCGCAAAGTTACATGATCTTCTTGTCTTTTCTGCTAGTTGCTAACAATTATTCTCTTTCAGTCTTGCTTTCATTCTTTTCTAAATTCTTTCCTTATTTATTTATTTTTTTTGGTGGGACCGGGGATTGAACGCAAGCCCTTGCACTTGCTAGGAAAGCGCTTATTCTACTGAGCAATCTCCCAGTCTCCTAAATTCTTTCCTTTTAATGTTTACTGTTTTAGTCTTCTTTCCCTTTACATACCAACTGAATGAAAATATAATGTGCAATCAATTTTTTTCACTATTAAATAACATCTTATGGTTCCACCTTAATTTCTAAAAGACCTGAGTTCAATGTTTTACATTTCTCAGTACAAAATGGGAAGATATAACCAACTTCAATTAATGTTTTTTTGGTCTTCTTTCCTTTTTCCATAAAGCCAGTCCTCAAAAAATTAGTTTCACAACTGATGCTTTTAAAATTTAAAGTTCCCAGTTAAACAGCTAGCAATTCCTTTCTCTCTGTGCTGTTCGTTCCCATGGAAATCTCCTCTTGAAAAAGGTGAACTCCAGACCTCAGCCCAATTTGGAGCCAAGACAGACAAACAGAACACTTGCTAGTTAACAGGGTTCTACGTCTCCACTCATGGTGTGTTCGCTATCTAACCACGCCATTTGATTTGATTTGTTGTCTGTTGTTTACACAATGTGCTGTGTACATCTTGTGATAGTGCACATGATTATTAGGTCCTCATACTGACTTTGGTTAGTCCAAATGAAATCATTTCCTTATTTCACCAGGAATGAAAATATCTGACCACAGCGTAGTACAAAGCGAAGAAAGCTGTGGGTCAACTGTTAGACTCTGAGGGTATAATATATACTCTAATAACTTAGTGAGTGGAAATTGAGACCTAGAGGTTTCTGAAATGCAGAGCTCAGAGATGAACTTGTTGTGACTCTGAGATGTCACTTGAGGACACCCAAAGCATGCCAGCTATAGCCCTTTTGTTGTCTCTGAATTCTATAATGTTATCCTTCTGGAAGACCAATAGATAGAAGTATTGTCAACAACAGTCAGATCAGTCTGACCTATTGAAGTTTATAATTAGTCAATAAAATGAACATATGACATTTCATTTGTAGGAGAGAGGCAGTGTGACACAATGGCAAGAGCACTAGTCTAGGAGTTCAGATGCCTGGCTTCTGACTTTATCTCAGCCCCGACTAGCTGTGTGACATCAAAAGGTAAAGCCTCGCTTTCCAGGTTGCAGACTGCTCATCTGTAAAACCAGAACAGTACTCTAGGTGGTGTCTCTGTCTTTTCCAGCTCATCATTCTGTGAAGCATGAGGGCAAGGAACGTTGTAAAAATCATAGGACTGAGAGGAACCTTGAGCCTGGCAAGAGAACAAATAGAAATGAAGCTCTAGGTGAGGAGCAATCTTGAAACTGCACGGCCCAAGCCCAGGGCATTGTGGATGCACAGACTGAAGTCTACAAAGTTTAATAGCTTAGTTTCCTTGAGGTCTTGCAACATAATCATTGCAGATGTCTCTGCACTTGTTCTGTGTCTGGATAAACTCTTCCACATTACCTTGTGGAACACCTCTTACATAACCTATCCTTTTCTTTTCCTCTTTTTCTTCTCTCTCTTTCT